AGACACAAATAGAAAAATAAATAAAATAATAATAATAAAATCAATGAACAAAAATAATAAAATTAATACATAAAGAACTAAAAAATAAATAAATAAATAAATAAAATAAAAGACACAGAGGACCACACAAATCACGTGGTGTTTAAAGTCATAGAATAAAAATGGGTTTTAAGACGAGACTTAAAACTCTCTACTGTGGGGGCTGTTTGGACGCGGAGGGGCAGAGCGTTCCAAAGTTTGTTGCCGGTCACAGAGAAGGTCCTGTACCCCCTGGTTTTAAGTCTTGTTTTGGGACCACGAGCTGGAGCTGGCCCTCGGACCTCAGAGCGCGTGCGGGGGTTTAAAATTTGGATGAGGTCCGAGCTGATGAATCAGTCTACAGTTTTGTTGTTTGTTTAGAGGAAGGAAACTCTCTGCAACCCATTTGACATTTTCACTGTTTTGAGGATTTAAATGTTGTGTTTCATATAAACGTTGCACAAGAAGTGGTTTAACAAAGAATTTTAAAAATATATCACATCGTAAGTGCATTTTATAGAGGTATGTATCGTATCTGCAACTTCTGAAGGATACCCAGCCTTACATGCGCTCTGAGAAACCAGGACACTCATATCCCTGTGTACATGATCAAATGGAGTATCACAGTTTCTTGGCATAATCTTACAAATGTGCAAGCACAAAAAATAACAACATTTTATTTAATAAACCAGGAAAAATACAAACAGCCCCACAATCCACTGCACACATCAAACCCACCGTTTCCAAACATTGTTCAAGTTCTACACTGCAGCAGATTCTTTATATAAATCTTCTGCATGAATAAACTCAACTTTACAACATATAAACCATAACCACTATAGAGCCACATCAGCCCGTTTGATAAAGTAATTCAGCTTTGATCACATTTGTTTACGTTTTACAGAAACAAGATTTAAAACCACATGGGTCATTTGCATAAACTATAAGTGCTGAGAAACACAGCTCTTTCCTTGTGTGCTGATGCGGTTCAGCTTCTGTCGAACTAAAGAACACGACTCAGTGGAATATGAGTGTTCTCTCTGTGACAGAGGATGATGATGATGATGATGGTGAGTCTGTTCTGTGTATCTCGCGTTGGAGATGGTTCATGTTTAACTTTTCAGCAATCAAACGCATGCAGGTTTAGTGCAGCTCTTTATTTTACAGTCATTTCACTCATGTATGCTCACTTTATTTATGTTGTAAGTTTATTTATGTCACTATTGTTGTGGTGAAAAGACTGAAAAGTGTTTGTCTTTTGGACGCATGCACACTCAACTTTATGTTGCAGTAACAGGGATACTGCATATAAATGCCACAATATCCTGTTTACTATTGGAATATACCAGCTACAGTATCCCAGTTTGTCATAACCATACTGTCTTATTCGGGATACTGAAACTGGGGTACTGCTTTTACATGCACCATGATGAAACCAGGATACTCAAAAAACCCGATCATACCCGGGACACTGATGTGCTGTAAACACACTCAATGAGACAGAGCCTGGACACTTACTCCCAAACTGCATTTAAATATTACTACTACTGTCACTACTACTTAGTGATGACAATAACCAAAATATTGTGATATCGTATCATCAAAAGTCTCACAATAATATCATGGACCGTCACAATATGTTGTGTGTGTTGTACCAGCTAAAAAAACAGAGGGAATTCCATGAGATGGAACTTGTTTTAACTTTAGAAAACTGAGCCAAATGTCCAATCCTGAAGAGTTTTCAACAAGCAACCAACAGTAACCAACAGTTCTTTTCAGTGTTTTTCCTCCCACACTGGTTTGAATCACTGATGTAAACGGCAGTGGATGGACAGTATCAGTATGAATCAGTTTTAGTCTGCTTATATACGCCTAGTTATTGGTTCGTGGAAGCCATGGAAAAGCCTTCACAATATGGTGCCGACTGCAATATTGTGTCAAAAGTATTTTTTTCTTGTTGTTGTATTATGCCACATTAAAATGAATGGGACTGGAGGCTGATATAAGCGCTGGTCCTCATGGGTCCACAGATGCAGGATGGAAGCATTGCTTTGGGCGGTTGACGGTCTCCATCACACGGGGGTCTCCTCTCCTCTGTTTGACGGACCACATCTATAATTGGATCTGCTCCAGGAGCAGTGTGGGCTCACTGCTAAGACACGCTGTCACAAAGAACTACGGAAACGTACAGAGGTGGGGGTTCTATCCCAGCTCTTCATACAAGTGTCAAAGTGTCCTTAGGCAAGACATTGAAGAGGAGCTTCTTCCTATGCCTATGTGATAATGTTATGGTGATCGTGTGTTGGTATTTTATTCAGAGGTGGAGAGTAGAAAAAAGATAAATAAAAATGAACTCAAGTAAGACTGCTGTTAGTTCAAAATATTACTCAAGTAGACTAAGTAGACTCTAAGAAATTACTCAGAATTAGAGTAAAAAGTGTGAAAGTACTACTCAAGTACCAGTAACTTAGTAGTAACTGAAGTAACTGTCAGGACATAACACTGGGTTTATAATCTGTTCTTTTCAGACAGATACAAACATTAGAAATCAGATCTGAAGAAGCTGCAAGAAACACAAATGTTCAAATCATTTCATATTGTTACTTAAAGCTTTTGTCACTAACCAAAACTTTTACTCAAGTAAGAGAACTGTTACTTCAATGAAAATATTACACAAGTAGGAGTAAAAGTATGGAGTCATAAAGTTACTCTGTATGTTAAATGTTTTATTTTTTTTTAAGTTACTGCTGTAAGTGAGTAAATATAACTGAGTACAACCCACCTCTTATTGATTATATATATTTTTTGTATTAATCAGTGTATACTCAAGATAATATAAAAAGAAGAATTGTCATGAATACTGGTATTTTAACAGTTGAATATAAAACATACTCTGGCTTTTAAGATGAATGGATGAAAAGTGCAGTGGATCCAAATGAAATGCGAGTCGTAGTAATTTGTGAACTTTACTACATCTTTACTTCGATTTATGGGCTGTATCGTAAAATGTTGGCATCGACAAATATTGGACAAGATCCACAACAGCTAGACAAATAATGGAGATTGTATTGGGTGAAAAATCCATATCGAGCCATCTCTACAATTAAGGTCGATTCAGGATCCAGCTACAGCACAGACAGTGTCGAAAAGTAACTAACATGAATTTAGAAGAGTAATGAACAGAAGTGTATTCTGGTGCAGTTACACTTTCACACATTCTGGCCTTCAAACAGCACGTAAAAAAACAAAAAAATAAAAAATAAGCTCTTGTACATGTTTTTTTTCTTCTCTAAATACATTTAAATAATGCATGTCAAACTAGGGCTGTTGCAGTTCAAGAGTTTCTCTTGCAGCAACTTTACGTCCCTCTGCACGGCGCTGTGTGTGTGTGGTGTGTGTGGTGTGTGTGGTGTGTGCAGTACAGCACACAGAGACCCATAATAATACATTTACTTTCAGGATGTATTTGAAAAATATCAATATAAAACCACAACCAAGCCTAAGTGACAGACACGTGTAGTGTAATGTAGTTTTACAGACGAGTTACAAGATTCTTAGGATCCTCAAGTGAGTAAACCCCCACAGAGTCGCCTGCAGGAGGCGCCTGCACGCACTGTGTGCACCTTGAATGTCTCTATTGAATCTAAATGGATGTCCCAAGTTAGACATGGAGGAGTGTCACAGTGATTAAGCAGGTTAACCGTTGACTTTGTATTTGCATATGTTACCTGCACAAACAGGACAACTTTAACCCTTAGTGCAGTGCATGACTGATTTTTTATTTTTTTTTCTAGCTCTCATGCCACCCCCCCACAAAATTCCCTGTCCGCCCCTGCCTAGGACCACCCCTGATGTAAAGACAAAGCTCCTCACCCGGACAGAGACATCCAGGGCACATACACACTGTGTCAGGTTCTCCTCGCTCTGTGATGCAGGTGCTTCAGTCCCAAACTCCACTAAAAACTTGTAAGTGCCGTATATCCAATGAGTGCATAGGCCATTTCAAACAGGTCCTAAACAGTGCACTTTAGTGTAAATAGTAAAACAACACATTACACAAACAAAACCGGGTGTTTGTCAGGTGCGCCCCCACACAGATACTGAGGCCAGCTGCAGTGATGTGACACATGTTAGTTTTAATGTGCACAGGTTCGGGTCGGGTTCCAGTATTTGAACCCATTTGCTCAGAGCCATGTAAACATGAAGCGGTTGATAGTAGAATAGTAAAATTGTGCATGGAGCCTCATCAAAATGCCAAATGCTGTTTCCACCATCACCTGAACCCTCGGGCGGTGTGAATGATCAGACTGTGGTATTGTAGTATTGTGGTTACCACAACAGCCCTATGTCAAACAGAATAGAGTTTGTTTAATACTATGTCTCTTTTTACACTGTAATATAAGTATTGTATTCCAAATATTCAGAATTACAGTTGTTATTGATTAATCAATATTAAAGGTGGGCAGTATAGTATTCAATACTACAAAGGTCTCATTGACAAGACAGAAATGAACCTTTCCTGAACAGCTTTAGAATGATGTTGAGCTGTAACAGAACAAGTAGAAGAGCACGTAGACTAGTATACACACACGGACCAACATGAACCTACTGCACCACTGAAGGACACACACATATAAGACACATGGGAATACAAAAGAAAGTTCTACCATTCAGTGTTGAAAATCACAGTCTCTGGTCTAAAGAATGAGTGCTGTCATTAACACTGTGGTATTGGAATGAGTATCGAGTCTATTCCTTAGTATCGAAATTGAGTTTGAAATGTTAGAATCATGACAACACTATTCAGAACAAAGTGCCTGTGGACTGTGCTTGGAATACATTACAAAATACATTTTAAAACTGCTATTCAATATTCTACAACTAAATACATTTTCAATTCATTCGTTTTGACTAACAGCACAGACAGGTGGACATACTGACGACTACATGGACAGGTGCATGTGGAGTGTGAATGTTTGTACCTGTAGAATGACCCAGTGGCCCTCCTTGGCGGCTAAGGCCAGGGCCTGCTCTGCCACCACCTCCTGCCCCTGGCCCAGAGACACGTTGTGGAAGTTCTTGTTGTCAAACGTGAATCCCAGTTTCTTTCCTACAAACACAAGAAAAGAATAGCAGCAAACCATCAGAGCATGTCATAACCATGTTCTACTGATACTCTGCAGATGATGAGATGATTTGTGCTGCGAAACAAGTCCCTTTGACACAACATCACAGGCACAAGTTAGAAAGCATTAGCCAACAGTTTTTCATTTACTCACACTTACCTTCTTGTTGAAAATACATAAACAGAACCATGAACACATATTGATCACAAGCTCCTGAAAATGTGCTGTTTAAATCCATTTTATATTTGTATCTGCATTTATTTTGACTTCCATTAGCAGTGGAAGCAGAGCTCTTCTTCCTGGAGTCGTTCTTTCATGATAGCAACATTCCACCACCGAAATACATGTAAAACACCTCCAGCGTGATGTTATTGCAGATTATGAATGTACCAACACTGCCTGCATTCTAAATGCTGGTATTGTTCCAGACATTAACTTCAACATGGAGGAGCAGTGGCTCTACTCCGAGCTCCTCCTGTGTGACTGAGCCACACCAAACCACACTGCTCCTCCTCAATCCAGTCACAACTTTATATGTCAGTATCTCAGAACTGCTCAGAACGATAGATAGAACATCATCATGCTGAGGGTATGTTTTATATTTGTTTGCAAAATGTGTCAAAATGAGTACGCTAACCACCACGTAACTCGCTATTCTTAAATCTAATGTTAAGATGATTAAACTGCTCCAAAACAGTTTAACAATGACTTTGTGGTTTGTTTCATCAAGCACCACAAACACTGGTTACTAGAGATGCAACAATACAGTTTTACCACGATTCAATATCTATCTCAATACAGAGGTCGCAATATTGTTCCAATTTTGATACATTTAAGACGTGACAAAGAAAAATCTGATGAGTATAATGAGTATAATATAATATAACATAATATAATAACATGATATTAATGAAACATTACACACATTGCATACAATACACTGCAGTAGAACTAGTATACAGCTGTAGTTTATATGTGAAGTGTTTTAGTTCATTTGGTTCAATGATTTACAGCTGATAACTTTTCTTCAGTGAAAATAAGAACAAAGTTTCTCAGGCTGTTTTATATTTTATAACATAGTCAGTCTACTCTTCATATAGACTGTAGGGGAGTTACACTATCTGACTTTATCTTTTTGATGATGATTAGATTTTTTGATTTTTTGATTTTTCCTCCTGAGTGTCTCTCCTTCTCTGCGTTCATACAGGCTTCTGTGTGTGTCTCCAACAACAGCAGCAGAGACAGACAGCAGCTCCTCCCACACTGCCCTGCTCGTTTTACACACACTGAGCTCTCCCACCCTCTTTGTGGACACTCAAACTCTGTTTTATGACATAGAAATGTCTCAACAAACTGTTTTTTAAGTAAAACATATATCGTGAATATCGCATATATGAGCGCATTTGATTAAAGTGATTCTCAAGTAATTAAAAGTTAATATCTGTGTCATTTCTGGTTCTATCAACATAATATAAAAAGTCACTGAAACATAAAACACACGTCTGTTAGAATATTTCAGCTGTAAGTCCCAATGAAGCTGTTTTCTGCTGCATCTGAGGAGGATGGAAAGAGAATTGTTTCTCACTCCAACCAAAAGTAAACGACAACACAACACGCATATAAATTGACTGAACACATGTATTGAATCGTAACATCAGTATCGAACAATGCAGTACTATCGAATATCGTTGTACCCTACTAGTTACATGAGTGAGCTTTACAAAATGGGGTTGAAAGTTAAATATTGAGTGTGTATACATGCACATGAATATCCCAGTCATGATCGGGTTTTTTGAGTATCCTGGTTTCGTCATGGTTCATATATACAGTTTCAGTATCCCGCTTATTAGAAACCGGGTTACTGTAGCTGGGATTTTCTGATAGTAACCAGGATACTTGTGGCATGTAAACACAGCATCCCGGTTACTGCAACATAAATTTGCGTGCGCATGCGTACAAAAGACAAACACTTGTCAGTCTTTTCACCTCAACAATAGCGACATAAATAAAGTGACCAACATAAATAAATTAACCAACATAAATAAAATGACCATACATGAGTGAAATGGCTGTAAAATAAAAAGCTGCGCTAAACCTGCACAGGAATCTGCACTCGTCCGACCTGCACACGTCTGATCACTGAAAAGTTAAACATGAACCATCTCCTGTACAATATACACACAGAACAAACTCACCATCATCAACACCCCGTCACAGAAAAGAACACATATATTCCACTGAGTCGTGTCCTTTAGTCCGACAGAAGCTGAACTGCATCAGCGGCACAAGAAGTGAGTTCTTTTTATCAGCACTAACAGTTTATGCAAATGAGTCATGTGGTCTTAAGTTTTGTTTCAGTAAAACATAAACAAATGTGGCAAAGCTGAATTATATAATCAAATGGGCTGATGTGGTTACGGTTTATATGTTATAAAGCTGAGTTTATTTATGGCTTTATTTTAGCTCATGGTTGTTTGTATTTGTCCTGGTTTATTAATTTAAATAAAGTAAATTTTTGCGCTTGCGCCTTTGTAAGATTATGTCAAGAAACCAGGATACTAGGGCTGGGTATCATTCAGAAGTTGCTGATACAATACATAACTCGATACACAGGCCACGATACGATACATATCTCGTTACAGTGCACTTTCGATTCGATATGATATATTTCAAATTGATTCGATATGTTTCAATAAAAAATAAAGGCTAAATCATGGCTGTGATACTAAAAGTCTTTGTTAAACCACTTCTTGTGCAAAGTTCATATGAAACACAAATATTTTAAACATCAAAACAGTAAAAATATAAAATGTGTTTAATAAATGAGTTTCCTTTCACTCCACAAGTAACAAAACTGTAGCACTGTAACAAAATAATTTAGTAAAACACACCTAAAAATACTCTTGGTGATATATCAATACAGCAGCCCATGATATTGATACTGTATCATCACATTAAACAATACAATATATCGATATTCCGATATTTTTGCACACCCCTACAGGATACTCCATTTGATCATGTATACACGAATATGAGTATCCCGGTTTTTCAGTGCGCATGTAAACGCAGTATCCTGAATACTGACAGAACCGGGATATGACTAATAACTGGTACACTGATGTGCATGTACACACACTCATAGACTCCCAATTCTTGTTGTTAATAACGTGTTACATTCACCATCTGTTTGATTCAGTGCTTTAAGACAGTCACTTACTTTACTGGGCTTTTGAAATAATTGGGATCAAACCTACAGTACATGCATGATGAGAGGCTGTATGGAAGCCTCTTTAACAATTGATCATTAAGTCCATCTCCGTAATTGCAGTGCTTAATGTATGTACGCAGCTCACATCTGGAGTCCACCTGGTGTAATAGAAGAGTCGTAAACAGTGAACTTAAAGACGGCGAGCATTAAACACAAGCGTGCATGGGAGGGCTGTAAAAGCAAATGTGTTTAAGACTCTGGAGAAAGCACAGTGCAGTGAGGCTTCATTAGACTGTTCTAAACATTAGGATTCTTAACAGCAGCATAAAGAGTAACCAGTTTAATAGCTCATAAAATCACTCAATGGACAGCAAATAACACACCAGAAGCACCATCTTTTTACACGTCCTATATTACACAAGAATTGACTCTTTGAATGTTGTTATTGCATCAAAAACATACCTGGAGTTGTATCATTCACATTCACATTGAGTAACGCTTTATTATTAGTTTCTGTTTGCATCTCCAAAGCTCAGAATGCTCTGTTCCAACTTGGGCCTGTTCCAACATTTTAAAGGGCCTGGAGCAATTATTTCCCAGTATTTGAATGTGTCTTGCCCCAGTGCAGATATAGTATATTGTATAAGCAGCTCTTAAGTTCAAAATAAGTCCACTGTGTACCATCTGCATCTAATTATAAAGCTTTTTACTGTCTGATCAGGAAGTGTGCTAGTTATTATTAGCTTTACAGTCATGCCAAAACCCGCTCTGGTGTCTGAGAGTTGAGAAAAGTGCTTAGAAAGTCATCGCATGAATAATTAGGATGCTCTGAATGCATAATGTAAGTGAGGAATAAGTTTGGACTTTTGTTTTTTGGTAAATGGTCACATTTTTCTATAGTGCTTTTCCACCTTCAAGGCACTCACACACCAGTGTACACAGACACTGTGGGCTAGGTGGGTTAAGTGTCTTGCCCAAGGACACAACAGCAGCATTCATCTGTGGGTCAGTGGATCTGACCGCTCAACCTGTGATGTTTATGTCAAGAGCTGGATTCGAACCGCCAACCTTCAGATCAGTGGGCGAATGCTCTACCAACTGAGCTACTGCTGCCGTTTCACATTTTTAAGACTTTAAAGCCTTTAATGTTGTGTGTTGAAATATTAGTTACCTACCATTATGTTTCCCTGGGCAAAAATCTGTTAAAATTGCACAATAGCTACTGTAGACCTTTATTTTGTTAAAGAAGGTTTAAACTTTGAGATAAATGTCTTCCTTGTGCATACGGTCTCTACATTTTGGATGGAATTTTCTGTTGATGACAAAGGCAGAGGTATTATGTTTTAAATGCTGTATTCTTGCACTTTTCTTTTCAACTGTTTTCCCACAAACTATCACTTAACTGATGTGAAACTATGATAAATGTTTTACACAGATACTATCCACCAAACCAAGTCAGAATTAGAAAAGCATGAAAATGTGTAATGTGTATTTTAACATTATAACTATAATTAATCATGATTATATCTTTAATATCCACACACTCAGTTTATGACTTCCCCCTTAAAAATGCATATCAGACTAAAAGACAAATGTGTAAATTAAGCCAAGCAGCCCCAGGACTCATTTCAATGTGATTAATTATGATAAAGCAGCAGCAAACATGAAGCTTTAATATTTTGGGTGAACCCCGTATGCAGTTCATATAACCTCACACTTACTTTTTAATTGAAACTGTCCTTACTTCACTTGGTCTTTGTTCAATTATAAGAG